CATACTGTGGCAAATGTTTCCATGAAAAGTTGGCGTAGCACATCAAATTCTCATTGCAGAATAGTGGCCAGGTCACTACATGATGTCAGTGCTCGCTCATACACAACACCCCAAAGTGGCTCAATAATATTTAGATCTGGTGCCTGTGACTTCACTTTCATGTTCATGCAACCACTCTCTTGCTGTGTGTACTGGTGCATTGTCATCCTGATACACAGCACTGAGTTCAGGATACCATGTTTGAACCACTGGGTATACATAGTTCTCCAGAATTGTCTGGTAGACCTTGGCAGTGACACAGCCATCTAACACAAGTATTGAGCCTAGGGAATGATATGATAATTGCAGCACAAACAAACAATCACTGATCCACACCCATGCTTCACTCTACAGTTTGAGTTTTACGCTTCATTTGTGCTTCTCCACACTGTAACTCTCCAGGATGTGGGAAAGACAGTGAAGGTGGAATGAGAGAACCATACATATTTCACACTGTCCACAGCTGACGGCTGCTGGCACCATTAAAACTAGAGTTGCGCAGTAGCGTTGCTACAAGTAGTGACGCTACTAGCTTAACAACATTACTCAGTAGCGGGGCGGTAGCATCGCAACTTTCTAAATCAAATAGCTTTTCAGTAGCGATGCTATATTTTAAGCAAGTAGTGTAGTAGCATCCACACAAGCTACATTTGCAGATCAGTTATATATTTGCAGATATATACGTTTTATTTTTACAATAGTGGTAAACTGGTAATTACTACTAGTAATTACTGTTAGTTCATGATAGTTACTAATGATACTACATTATGTAGTGTAATTCATTAATGAAGAGTTGTAATGTTTTATATATTGATGTAATATATAATGTAATATAATGTAAGAATTGATGTAATTTATATATATATTAGGGGTGTAACGGTCCACAAAAATCACGGTTCGGTTCGATACGACACAGTGGTGTCACGGTTCAGTAAGTTTTCGATACAGCAAAAAAAAAAAAAGAAAAAAGCCAGGATTTCTCTGATTTTATTTTTTATGTATTAAAACTAACATCATAAAAGTATGATCTTGTTTTCTTTTTTTCTTTTACTCTTCTTTTTCTTAAAGCGTTAGAGCTATACTTCCGGGGTTGCTGCTTAGCAGCAAATGAAACTAATCCTTCTTTATACTCAAAACCCAAAAGCTGCCCATAAAAAAATAAATATAATATTGTAGTAGTTAAACAAATAAAAAAAGAAAGAATAATTAAATTTTATATGGAACTCAGTTTCAATCAATTTTTAAGTATTTTTCTATTTTCAGAAAGATGAGTGTCCACCTTTTCTTTAGACAGCACAGATCTGCTTGTTTTAACTGTCACCTAACATTTAAGTGGATCTGAAACCAGGAATTATCTGACTGAAATGGGCTTATGAAGGAATAATGTAACGAGGCTCTATTACATTTAACATTTTCTTAAAACTGAAATTTCCTCTTCCGATTAAGGTCTCTCATATCCACTGCTATAAATGTGCCGATTGCCTCGGTGATTTGTTCTGCCCTGTTCGAATCTGTAAGAACTGCCTGTCTGAATCCTGTTCCAGTTCCAGTTACTGATTCCGTGATGTCAGTGTAAAGGAGTTAATATGCTGTAATATTACCACTAAAATAGCTTACTGTCATAGTAGACATCATTGTTTTTTTCCACCACTCTCTAGGTGGCGATGATGGTGGGCGACGTATCTAAAGAGCGGTGAGGGCGTGTGTGTGCGACGTATCTGAAGAGCTGTGGAAGCATGTGCGTGCGATGTACCCGAGCGGCGGAGGTGAGTTGTGCCCAACGTACCTGAAGAGCTGGGAGGGATGCGGTGGAGAGGGGTGTGCGACGGTTATAAGTACTGGGGGGGGGGGTGCACGATTTGCGGAAGATTGTCATTTGTTTGCGGGCATCTAGGAGTCTCTATGCATTTGCGGAAGACTACCGCAACTTCCGGGAGACTTGGGGACTTGGGATGTCTGGGATTAGCGCGTGCCTGACTGGAGTAGTGTTTAGAGGTGGGCAGGTGTGGTGATATGTGAACAGGTTATTGAGATTGGCTCTTTAGTGTCGGGGTCCAGGGTTGCTGGGGCAACGCAACGAGGGCAGAGCCAGCACGAGCAGGCTGACACAGAAAGCAGCAAGACCACTAAGTGTATGCTTTAATAAAGTAATATTCTGACTTTAAAAGCGATGGTCTACTGTTTAACATGACAGCGGGGAAGGCAGCATGTTGTCTGCCAAGTCATTTGGGATGCCATGTTGAGGGTTGCTGCACTGAAAACATTATAATTTGTCTTTTATCATTTTAGATATTAGTCTGAATTGAATAATTCGGTTTGTAATGCGTATCGAACCAAAAGTCTCGTACCGAACGGTTCAATACGAATACGCGTATCGTTACACCTTGAATACACACACACACACGCGTGCACAATATAATGCTCATTTCTAAATATTCCCTGTGTTACACTTGGTTTTATTGGATTTTTAGTTTTTGCTGTTATATACTATAATTTGTTTCTGTTTGATTGAGTATATTATTTACAGTAAATAACTGAACTGAACAATTGTGCCTCATGTTTCATTGACCGTTTTATTGATCACTGATATGATTGACTTGGATTTTAGTTCGATTTAAAAATTAAAATTGCAAAAATAGCTTAGATGTAGCTAAGCTACTTTTGTCATGTAGCTTTTAGCTTAGCTTGCTACATTTCCTTGCGACAAAATGGAAATTTTAAGAAGAGTGGCTAATAGCTTAGCTAACTATATTTTTCAAGTAGCTTGCCCAACACTGATTAAAACTGATGTTTGGCATTGTCATGAGTGATGATAGGTTTGGCTCTAGAAGCCCGGCCATGTATATTGCCTCTGTGGAGCTCCCAACAAAGTTTTGGTGGAAACAGGAGAGTTAAGGTGCACATTTAATTCAGCAGTGAATTGGTCAGCTGAGATTTTATGTTTTTTTGGACATAAGTTTTTAAGTTAGCACCCGGATATCCCTTTCAGGCAGCTTCCTCTTGCATTCAGTTTAGGGCTGGGTGATTTGGCCTAAAAGCTAAATCTCGATTAAGATCGATTATCTCAATCTTCACAATGTGTAGTTACATTTTTGAGAGGTGCGTGGGTATGTGACCGCTTGAAGGCTGCGCTAGACTCTCGACATGAATCAATGTAAATCATCCTTAACAGAGCGGGGTCACGTGACTTCACACACAGTCGGGAAAATAATCGATAAAACCAACTTGGTAAAATTAGATCGATTATAGGTTTTGAATGTCAATTTCAATTATTTTTCGATTATCTTGCAGCCCTAATCTAGTTACTATTATTGGATGTGGTTCATGCTTCTTGGTGGTATGCTGACATTACACTGAATTACGCATGGGATGATAACCAATTTCAAGGTATACCGCAGTTTGGAAAAGTCAAGGTTTTAAAACCGCCAACATTTTATATACCATACCTATACCATTTCTATGGTATGTGTAAAAAAAAAAAAATATTGGTAAACAGTATCGCCAGCAGAAAGAGAAAAAAAATCCAAAAGATGCTGTTTTAAATTGTAAAGAAATGTGTGTTTTTGAAACTAATGAAGAGAGCAGCCTGACATGTTTACTGCTCCAACAGCATAATTTTCATGTAAACGGTCCATGTAAAGCTATAGCCACAGTACAAACAACAAATCCATCTGAAAAAAAACGTTTAACAGAATTAACATTGATTAACTACTTAGCAAAATGGTTTAATTTTCTTCCTCACATCATTACAATGACATTTGTTAAAAAGTTCTCCATGTTTTTATGTTTTTATGCATAATTTTATGTTATGTATAAATGTTATATTTTAGCTTTTAAAACATTGAGACACTCTCATTGTCTTTAACATTGTTTATGTAACATTGCATTTGTGAGATATATGTGCTAATAAAAAGAACTGTATAAAACAAGAGTTTGCTTTTACCCAGACAATTAAAAATAATATATTTTAGAGCGAAAAATCACAATACCGTAAAACCATGAAACCGTGATATTTTTATCCAAGGTTAACATACCGTCAGAATCTTATACCGGCCCATGCCTACACTGAATACTGTGGCTCACATCACAAAGACTTGCTTACTTCATCACAAATGTGCCAGCGAGACACACACCACAAATTTGTCTCCTTTGAACTCATAAGTCACCCATATTGTTGTGTGCATTGAAATATTTTAAGCAAGACTGTTCTATTGCTAATTAAACCTTCACACTATGCTCTTACTGGTGGAATGTGCAATCAATGTGCCACCAGACTGGTTTAGCCATTTAGTCATGAGCCTTTCAACACTAGTTTCGTTTTCCAAGCCCTGTGTGTGTAATTATATATATATATATATATATATATATGTATATATATATATATTATTTTTAAATGTAGTTTATTGTTTTTCAATAGTCTCTGAAGCAAGTCTTTCATGTTTGTTAACTCCCAGTTTCACAAGAAATGTATGTGTGATGATAGCTTGGGTAAATATGCCTAGCAGTGTAAATAAGTGGGTAAGTTTTAAACTAGTCAGTCTCTAGTGCTTGTAACAAATCCACCTTGAGCTATAGACAAACAAATAGTAGAACAATGGTACATGAATGTGATAAATAGGAAGACTATGCAATGTGCCACAATACAGCAGCTTTGTGGAAACACTTCATTTTATAATGTTTATACAGTACTATAAACTGTTTATTACATGTTGTTTGTTTGTTCAACAAAAGTTATCATTTAATTAGTATTATATTGCGCTTATTAATGTAAAAGCAGAAAAACATTGACATTGTATTTTAAAAATGTGGCCAGATTTGTAACTATACCAAGTAAAAAATATTAATTTACACTACAGGAATCTTGGCCTAGAAAGGCATATTATTGTGACTACAGTGAATTCACATGCATAGTTTTTTTTATAACATAGTAAATTGTTTTATATAATTATTTTCTGGCTTACCTTTAGTTGAAAAGGGTGGATCTCATTTAGTGAGTGTCTTCTGAGTTTTTTAGTGAGGGTCTTCAGCATTCTGCCTGTCCTTGATTGCTCTCAGTTTAAGATCACTTCAAGAAATTAAAGATTCATCTCTGAGACACATGCCCTGAGTTGATCAGCTCTTTCTAAGAACAGTCAATAATGATGTGTGTATTCAGAGATGTTCAGCTCCATGCAAACAAACTCGTGCTGGAACCCAAATAAACAAATATCATGAGTTCATCAGCGCCAAAACAACACCAGACATCCGTGCGGGACCGCTTCGGGTTTTAAAGTTCAAGTTTAAAGAAAATCTCGTCGATTGGTCTGAAAATCCATTTCTCTGACGAAGGTAAACTAATTAGAAATGACTATTTAAGTCCTGTGTCGTGTTGAGTTGTCCAGCGGCAGTGACATCACTCATCAAACACGCTGTTATATTCCATTGATGTGTAAAGTCAATCTTAATCGACACACGAAAGATGAAATGTGTATAACTAAAATAAAAAGTCTCTATAGAATTTCAAACGCACTCACTCACTCACACACACGCGCGCGCACACACACACATACGCATCCGCACTACACACACTACTCTCTCTATCTTATGCTCGTCGTGCTTTTTCATTGGTTGCTTAAACCACTGATGTCATTGCGTTCTAGAATGAGGCGGGCCTGTAATATCTTAAAGGGGTAAGAAAAGCTTTTTAATAACTCATGTTTTTGGGCACACGAAGAGCACTTTCATGGATGCAGTTGTGCTTACAGGCTCATTTTAATGCCTTCCATGCCAAACTCGGTCCTGGATTGCCGGTGTCCTGAAGATTTTAGCTCAAACTTGCCTCAACACACCTGCAAGGATGTTTCTAGAAAGCCTTGTAAGAGCTTGAACCAGTCCATGTGTGTCTAAATGGGATTGGAACTAAACTTTACTGGACACCGGCCCTTCAAGACCGAGATTGAACACCCTTGTACTACAGTATTATTCTTTTTTAGTTCTTTTGATTGTATTGTAGTTTGCAAGAGTAATTTTCTTTATATGATGCTATTTAAATATGTCAACCGGCCAGAAACACTTCTGAAGTAACATGTATTTTGGTGTGGTGTTATGAGACTTGACAAAAATTTCTTTATGTTTATGTTTATATATTAGCATATGGGCCGGTATAAGTTTCTGGTGGTACGATAACCTTGGATAAAAATATCACGGTATCACTATTGTGATTATTGCTCTAAAATACTTTATTTTTAAATGTTTGAGTAAAACACAACATCAACAACTTGAACACAATATATTTTATCTTAGAAAAGATTTAAAATATTTTGGAACAATAAACATGTCAAATAAATCATTGATTTCTGCTATCTTCGTTAGTTTCAAAACCACAGATTGCACCTTAAAAAAATTGATTAAAAAGCCATGGTAAACCTTGTAACCGGTTATCGTCCCATGTCTATATATAGTCGATAAATAACATACCACAAAACGAATTAAGTTAATTAAGGGATAATATTCACACACACACACACACACACACACACACGCATGAATGCACACACACTGTTTACAGTACTGACATCTTGAGCAAGTTCAAGTCGCTTAACCTTCTTGTTTTTTTTTGACAGCTGCCCTAAGCCCACCTAAACACACATACAGTACAGTATATACTTTTTATTTATTGTTTATATTACTACAAATGTATTTTAAATAAAAAAAACTATCTAAACTTACCTTTGCTGATTAAGTTCTAATAAGGAACGCACACTGGCAGTTGTTTATAGACCCAGACTATTTTGATAGCAATAAAGTAAAGATAAATTAAGTATTTTTATTTGTTTTTTTTACTGTTTGTAGTCATTTTGTCTTTAAAATGGCTGTAATTTTGTCATGGTTCTGAAAATGCAAGCAAACAAATAAATAAATATAGTAGTTAATAACTAATGACCCCTCCGCTCAACACTTCGTCATAGTTACTTTTTATTATAGCATACCTACATGTATTAATTTTGTACATATAAAACTTTGCTGAATTAAATGTCAAGACAGATCACTAATAAAAACATAATATACCATACAATGCAACTAATAACATAGTGTTGGGGGAAAAATGTGAAAGAATAGGGTGACGTGGTGGCTCTGTGTTTAGCACTGCCACCTCACAGCAAGAAGGTCGTTGGTCCCAGACTCCCAGCTGAGTCCGTTGGCATTTCTGTGTGGAGTTTGTATGTTCTCCCCGTGTTTGCGTGTGTTTTCTCCAGTCCATAGACATGACCTATAGGTGAATTGAATAAACTAAACTGGCTGTAGTGTATGAGTATGTATGGATGTTTTCCAGTATTGGGTTGGAAGGGCATTCAATGCATAAAAAATATGCTGGATAAGTTGGCGATTCATTCTACTGTGGCGACCCCAGATTAATAAAGGGACTAAACTGAAGGAAAATTAATGAATGAATGAATGAATAAATGTTTCTTGATGGAGCCGATGGGCGTTGCTTGGCCTATAGCCAAGGCCTATAGGCCATAGGCCTATAACAGAAAACAATTAGATTTGTCTGTGCAACTAAAGTTCTATAGCAATAACGAAAATAAGTAAGTAAAGTAAGTTTTAGTTGAAAATAGGTCTACGGACTATGATCATGTGGCTTCTGCTTTAAAGTACCCCTGCTGAAAAATCCAGCTTAAACCAGCCTAGGCTGGTTGGCCGGTTTTAGCTGGTCGACCAGGCTGGTTTTAGAGGGGTTTTGGCCACTTCCAGGCTGGTTTCCAGCCATTTCCAGCCTGGTCTTAGCTGGTCAGGCTGGGAGATGACCAGCTTAAACCAGCTTGACCAGCCAAGCCAAGCTGGGAGTCCAGCCAAAACCAGCTATATCCAGTTTAAACCAGGCTGATCAAGCTGGATTTGGCCGGTCATTTTCCAGCCTGGAAATGGCCAAAACCGCTCTAAAACCAGGCTGGTCAACCAGCTAAAACCAGCCAACCAGCCTGGGCTATTTTTCTATTTCTATTAATATATATTTTTCAGCAGGGACAGGCTACTGTAGTGCTAATATGTCTGCTATATACAAAATGGAGATGTAGGAACACATTTTGACCACTAGAGAACAATCTCTTTTTAAAAAAGAAATGAGTTGCACATTGCTGTTTGTATGGCCAGACAGAATCTGTGGACATTTTTAGCGGATCTAATGTATCTACTTAAAGACAGAGAATATTACTTTACAAACTGTATTGTAAAATAATAATAATAATATTTTTATATTAGTCAATAATTGTACTGAAATTAATTTAAAAACTGAATAAATATAAATTTACACACATTCCCTTACCAAAAAAAAAAAAAAAATGGAATCCTGCAGGAGTATTATGCAGATTTTCAGCTCATTTTCCTGTAGGAATACATGTAGGAATTTTATGAAGGAAACAACATTTATGCATGGATTATTCCTGCAAAAATTACAATCCTACATGTATATTAAAATATACAGTTCCAGCAGGATTATTGTGCAGGATAGATATGAAGTTAGAGAAATTTCACAATGAAACAAAGTATTTTCACAAATTATTTATTAAAATTGTGTAATTTTGAAAAAAAAAATAGACCAAAGCAGAATCCAATTTACAGCAGGCTGCGTTTACTCCATTTTCCTAAAAAAAAAAAAAAAAGTAAAGAAAGTTTCCTGTAAGTGGTAGAGTTGGTGTAGGGCAGAATGCAGTCTAATAAGTAAATAAACAGAATCAATGATGGACTAAAAATCTGCGGAAATCTCTGGAATCCTGCGCGCACAGATTCCGTGTGGGCCTAGTCATTGGGAACCAGTTTTTAGTTGTTGTTGTTATTTTGTAGAAGGAAGATACACAACAAATTTTAACCTATTACAGTCTTTGGAAGGTTGCATGGTAGCTTGCAAGCTAATGCTAGCTTCCACCAGTAGCATTTGGTTGATGTTTTTAGAGTTAATATTTTGAGGGATTTTCTGCACATCCCAGGCTATCAAAAGTGTACAAAGACTTCAGAACTTTGCTATATTTTCATAGTGATTGGATTCACAGTGCTTTTTCCAAGGCATCTGAAACTATTGCTCCAGGACTAGGCCTACCACCTCCAGAAATCTGCGTGCCCCAAATTTCAAGGAACTCTACCTTCAAGGATAAAGACGTCGGCGTGTCAGAACCACCACGTCCGGAAATCTCCAGTTGTGTGTGTTCCAGATTCTTCCGATTTTTTTTCTCAAAGCTTAAGAGGCATACATATGCTTGTTCTATGCATCAGGGCCTGCAGGAATACCCAGCTTCTTCCAACCACTGCATCAACAGCAAAAGCGTAAATATAGCACGTCTCAACCCTTTAACAGAGAGCTTGGCATTTTGTGTTTTAGTAAATATTCTAATTAATTAGATGCTCATAACTGATATTCATTAATAACAAAAACTTCCTCAGTTCTTTATTTTAGAATTAGGTTTACCTTATCAGACTCTAGCTTGTCTTTAGGAAAGGTAATAGAGCTATTAATCACAATACTAAGCTTAATCCTCTTCGTGACTCTTGTTTATGCACTTCATTTATTGTACATTTAGTAATTTTAGTTACCTCTGTATATTCTTTTGTTAATAAAAATGTATTACAATTGTGTCTTCCTTGTGCTGATAAAGCAAGTCAGACGATCTCATTATCCTTCATATTTGGCCAAATAATAAACACCTTTTTATACATTTGTATAATTCGATTAACAATATTTGATTGTTAATTATTTTGACAGTCGAAGCTGTCTGGTGTCGTGTTTAAAGGAAATATTTATCTGTTATTTTATTATTTGGTGTCCTACGAGGGGCTGAAATATCAATATTAATATCAATACCAAAATAGTGATGTTAGTATTTGTGATAAATCCAATTATTACTACATTTGTGTGTCAATTGATTAAAATAAACTGGTTGGTAATACAATAGTCCAAAAACTACATATACATATCAACCAACATTATTCTTCACACACATGCAAAATCTCCCCATTAAGGATACAAAACACACACACTTAACATACACAACACTCATTCATCACTAGAGAGTAAACATTTGCTTTGATATTAGCCATTGCTTAATCAGGCATGAAAACATTTGAAACCTCCTTTAAATTAGGCCTATATCAGGTCTGAAGCCAGGGGGGAGTTCGAGTGGTTCGAAAGAAGCACCAAAAGCAGGCTATTAGAGTTAATTTTAATACTAATTGCATAAAAATCCAAAACCAAACAAAAAGTTTTCAGGGGTAGTTTAAATAATGTGTTGGTGCTCTTTGTGTTAGGGATTCATCAGAATGTTCCTTAAAGCTGCAGCTACATCAGGTTACCCTAATGAAGTCAAGTGTTTTCAAAACATGTAGATGCCGTTTTAAGAAATAGCCATGTCAGTAAAGGCTTTTTACATATTTTTTCCACATTTTTCGAGTGCCTTAGTCTGACTTTTGCTGTTCATACTAATTATGCTGTTGTTAGATGAATTTTCAAGAGAGGCTAGAAGAAAATCTTGAAGCTTTTTTATATTTGTTTATTATAAATCTTTAGCTAATTAAGCTAAGC